CAGGCTATCCATATTCTTTGGTACGCATGTTAAGAAGAAGTAAAATTTTACAATTATTGTATATACTACATAATAAGTCATTAGGTGATCTGGTGATAGGTGTATACTATACATTAGTACATGACTTATATTAATATTACAATGATGTATTTTTTTTACTATTCTTTCAATACAAATTTAAAATAAAATAAGCAAGTAGGTACAGACTAGAGTAGGTAGGACGTTCAGACRTTAAACTATGTCCTGCAGTACTTATTTTATTTTATAATTATTATTATTATAGGTAATTACCTTTTTTCGGCAAATCTTGTACTTTATCAATTTCACGTTTTTTTATGAAAAAACTGGAAACATCGTTCACGATATTAGATTTTTTTAATTTTGAAACACTACAAAAGGTTACATGTCTTTTCCAATTCGTTTCATTAAGTTTTAATTTTTTTTTACCACATAAACAAATTGAACTATTATAATCAGACATAACTTTGTGTTTTAAAATGCAATTGTAAATATAATCGTACTTAATAGTCAATATAATAAATCATCAAATAAATAAAATAAAGAATAAGTGAAATGTGAATAACGATAGTACGACAAAGAATCACTTAGAATAATACATATATTTTTTTTTTTAGTCAATATTCAATAGTCATTACTCATTACTGGAATACTGGATAACTACTACTAATTAGTAATTACTATTATTATTATACTAATCGACAATTTATTGTTGGCCGTTGTGACACTCGTAATAGGTAGGGRAAAAATTATTTGATTATATTTCTGTTTACAAAAATAGATTTTTATTGAAAATTCCGCCCGCTATTATATCAATTATCAGCAAGCCACTGTTGGACAAGTGACGTCGTYGTGTACCTATTTATACTTATCTATAATGTCGCCAAGACTATAGAATAGATTGTATATTATAATAATAATAATATGTTTGTATACTGTGGTCGTATACTCGTATACGTCTTGTATAGTTGTATCTACTATAATACTATTGTTAATACGTATAATACGTATACCAAGCCGATGTAATTTCACTATACATACTTAAATTGTTTAATGTTGGCTGCCTTAATACTTACATTTTGATTATTTTGAATACAGCATATTAAGGTAGCCATCGGTTGGTTTATTAAATTATTAATATATTTTTCTTATTCAGTTAGGAATACCCGCCATGGCCTATGACCACCCGCCCAATTATAAGGTGTATCGACGGATACACCTCTTGAGCATAGGCTAGCCGCCACAGAGTCTGTGCTCGATATATTAGTTTACGTTTATTTATAATTATGTTGGGGCGGCAACAATATCTACAATAAAATATTATTATATACCTACTAATTAATATATTAATATATTATGTATAATTTGTTCTAGGGTATAATGTATGTAAAATAATATATAATATCGTCTATCGCAGTATCACTATGTAATGAATTTTAAAAAAATGATTATTATAACGCTCATCGGTATAAATTCGGCTTTATTAGGTAATTGTTATTGTTAAAATTTCCTGTTACATATGATTGTTTACTTGACCTGGTTTATAGATTTAATTATAATATGTTTTGTATATTATGCATTATACAACGTACATTACTTTTCTCGTGACGACAACGAAGTTGGACCGCCGACATTATTTGTCTCAACACGCACGCCGTTCTATTGCGAGTTATTCGAGTTTGTTATACGTTACTTTTCTCGTAACGATGACGACGTCGCATCGGCACGCCGATAATATTAATCGCAATGCGCACGCCGTAATATTACGAGTAACTCTAAATATTGGTATACGTTACTATTCGAGTAAACCATGACTACGTCGAACCGACGGCACGCGGCATAATTAAACTCAGCGCGCACATCAACTTATTACGAGTAACTCGAAATTGTTATACGTTCTCATGACGACGAAGACGTCGGACGGCCGACGTCAATTATTCTCAACGCGCACACCATTCTATTGCGAGGAACTCTAACTTGTTATACGTTACTTTTCTCGTAACGACGATGACGTCGGACCGCCGACATAATTAATCTCAACGCGTACGCCGTTCTATTGCGAGTTACTCGAGTTTGTTATAGGTACGTTACTTTTCTCGTGACGACGACGACGTCGGTCCAACCTTCGACACGGCATACGGTAAATATCTTGACGCCARCATCATGTAGCGTGTGACGTCACGTTTGGGCAATAACACCGGCCGGCG